ATTTTCTGTAAAATCCTATTTTATCTCCTCTTATTCATCTTGTCTGTAAACTAGAATCTCCGGTATGAATAAGACTGGAGGTATTTCCATGTGTCTCATCATGTGTCATTCATTTTCTAAATCTTTTCGGGAAAAGAGTGGCCAGAACTGAATAATATTCCAACTCAGCTCACTATTATCTGCTATAGAATCTAAGAAAGCCCAACAATTTTTAGGCCAGATTATAAAAAACATGATTTAGTGTCTGTGGTTTAGCGAAATATGACTATAATACAAAAGAGACAAGGAGGAGTCCTGTGGCATCTTATAGACTAACAGATATTGGAACATAAGCTTTCGTGGGCAAAGGCCCGCTTTGTCAAATGCATGTAGCGGAAGTTTCCAGATGCAAGTATAAATATGCAGGCCAGAATAAGGCTACAGATAACGAGGTTAATTCAGTCAAGGAGGGTGAGGCCCACTTCTAGCAGCTGATGTGGAGGTGTGAACACCAAGAAAGGAGAAACTGCTTTTGTACTTGCCTAGCCATTCACAGTCTTTGTTTAATCCTAAACTGACGGTGTCAAATTTGCAGATGAACTGTAGCGCAGCAGTTTCTCTTTGAAGTCTGGTCTTGAAGTTTTTTTGCTGCAGGATGGCTACCTTTAAATCTGCTACTGTGTGTCCAGAGAGATTGAAATGCTCTCCTACAGGTTTTTGTATATTGCCATTCCTAATATCTGATTTGTGTCCATTTATTCTTTTACGTAGGGACTGTCCAGTTTGGCCGATGTATGTAGCAGAGGGGCGTTGCTGGCACATGATGGCATATATTATATTGGTAGATGTGCAGGTGAATGAACCAGTGATGGTGTGGCTGATCTGGTTATACCAGTGATACCATCACAGGGCCTAGATATGTGGGCAGAGTTGGCACTGAGGTTTGTTGCACGGATTGTTTTCTGAGTTAGAGTTATTGTGGTGCGGTGTATAGTTGCTGGTGAGAATTTGCTTCAGGTTGGCAGGTTGTCTGTGGGCAAGGACTGGCCTGCCTCCCAGGGCCTATGGAAGGGAGGGATCATTGTCCAGGATGGGTTGTAGATCACTGAGGATGCGTTAGAGAAGTTTTAGCTGAAGACTGTAGGTGATGGGCAGTAGTGTTCTGGTGGTTTCTTTCTTGGGCTTGTCTTGTAGTAGGCGGCTTCTGGGTACATGTCTGGCTCTGTTAATCTGTTTCCTCACTTCCTCGTGCAGGTATCGTAGTTTCAAGAATGCTTGGTGGAGATCCTGTAGGCGTTGGTCTCTGTCTGAGGGGTTGGAGCAGATGCGGTTGTACCTTAGTGCTTGTCTGTAGACAATGGATCGTCTGGTGTGTCTGGGATGGAAGCTGGAGGCATGAAGACAGGCATAGCGGTTGGTAGGTTTCCGGTAGAGGGTGGTGTTTATGTGACCATCACTTATTTGCACCGTGGTGTCCAGGAAGTAGATCTCTTGTGTAGACCAGTCTAGGCTGAAGTTGATGGTGGGGTGGAAGCTGTTGAAATTGTGGTGGAATTCTTCTAGAGTCTCCTTCCTGTGGGTCCAGATGATGAAGATATCATCAATGTAGCCTAGGTAGAGAAGGGGCATTAGTGGATGAGAGCTGAGGAAGCGTTGTTCCAGGTCAGCCATAAAAATATTGGCATATTGCGGGGCCATTCAGGTGCCCATAGAGGTGCCACTGGTTTGGAGGTATATATTGTCACCGAATCTGAAATAGTTGTGTGTGAGGTTAAAGTCACAGAGCTCAACCACCAGTTGTGCTGTGGCATCATCAGGGATACTGTTCCTGACAGCTTATACTCCATCTATGTGTGGGATGTTTGTGTAGAGAGCCTCTACATCCATGGTGGCTAGCATGGTGTTTTCTGGAAGTTAACTATAATGCATTGGTTTTCTCAGGAAATCAGTGGTGTCACGGAGACAGCTGGGAGTACTGGTGGCGTAGGGTCTGAGTAGCAAGTCCACATATCCAGACAGTCCTTCAGTGAGAGTGCCAATGCCTGAGATTATGGGGCATCCAGGATTTCCAGGTTTGTGGATCTTTCACAGTATATAGAATAACCCAGGTCGGGGCTCTATGGGTGTGTTGATTTGTTCCTGTGCTTGTGTAGGGAGTGTCCAGAGCCGATGGTTCAGTTTTAGTGTAGTCCTCAGTGGGATCTGAGGAAAGTGGCCTGTAGAATTTGGTATTGGAGAGTTGTCTGGCAGCCTCCTTTTGGTAATCAGACCTGTTCATGACGACAACAGCACCTCCTTTATCAGCCTCTTTGATTATAATGTTGTTTCTGACCTGCATAGTTATACCTGCCTCTGGAAATTTCCACTACATGCATCTGACCAAGTGGGTCTTTGCCCACAAAAGCTCATGCTCCAATACATCTGTTAGTCTATAAGGTGCCACAGGACTCCTTGTTGCTTTTGCAGATCCAGACTAACACGGCTACCCCTCTGATACTAGAATACAAGCACTTTAGAATTGTAATATTTATTAGGCAAAGCTTTAGAATCTTGGTGACTATATCCTCAATCCTACATATAGATTTTTCCCATAGGTGCTAAAGAGCTCTGTAGTACTGCTGTTCATAATTAGGTTCAGTACATGATTACTTTAAATGCACAATTTGCTGTTCACTGTTTTGATTAAAGGTATGTGTCTCGCCTTCAGAAATACATTGAACTACATTGAAAAAAAATCCTACACATTTTCATTTATTTTTACACACAAGAAGAATCCTTGTTTACTACTCTAAGGTTTAGGGAGTAAGAATTAAACAAAAAACCACCACACATACTAGAGAATAGATGCTCACCATGAAGCCTTTGATTGTTCTATAATATGAATCCAACAGAAGAGCACCAAGGGAACAAACTTGGGAAGTCCTGTCCCAGCCATCAGAGCAATGAACTAGCACAGTTGCATTTTCAATTGCTATTGCCTGTAAAGTGGAACACAAAGCTTAATAATGCAGGTTACCTTTTTGTAAGTTACTAGGTAAATCCAAAAAAACCTCATTTTATTCCAGTCAGAGCACAGTCTGTTTTTAATGGCGGCACTTGAAGCTGATCTGGCAATACACAGAAAACACATGTGGAAACATGCTAGAATCCGTCAAAGCTGGGATCTCCTCTTTGTAATGCTCCCCATAAAGATCAAAAGCCAGTTTACTGTTTGCTGATGGAAGAGGCAAGAACTATTAGGTGATTTCTCATTTTATTTTTCAGATTCCAAGTAGCCAGCAGCATCTACAGTCTCATTGGGCTGCTAGGAAAAAGCCTGACTACAGCTCAGAAATCCAAAGCAAATAAGAACTACTGGACATTTTTTTTTTAAATCCTCTGTCTACTCCACCCCTCAAATATGGAGGCATGTGAAGTAGCTTGAGCTCAGGGCTTTTACACATCATAAATTATGTCAGTAGAACATATGTTGCACAGGAGAGCGGACAAGCCACTCTCCTGGTCGGTGTAGCACACATAGCACTGTCAACATTGGCAGTTATGTCAGTGTGAGTCTGTCTCCTAATGACACAATTACAGCCTCTCATGAAGGTGGATTTATTATGCCAAAAGGAGAGCTCTCTTCCATTTGCATAGAGTACCTTCACCAGATGTGCTATAGCACCACTATAGCATATCTAGTGTAGACTGGACCTCAGTCAAACAGGAATTTAGGCTTCATTCATCTCATCACTTGGAGGTCACATTTAAAAGACATGACCTCATTCTAACCTCTAAATAGCCCCAAACACTAGCGCAGTTAGTAGAGAATTTTGAGGCAAGAATTAATGCTTCACAAAATATTTTCTACTTTTTATGAACCTCCTACGTGTGCAATTGTGCCAGATTCACCAGCATGAGACTTGCTATTCCACAGAGCTCAATCAGCAGTATTCCACAATAGAAATATACAATTCCAACAGGTCATAAAAATACACAGATGGAGAATTCATCCAGAGTTAAAACTGTGCATGTTAGATTTAGCAGATAAGAGATAAAATAGCATACAGCAAAGAGTGCCTTGAGGTGACAAAGGTTGTAAGGTGCATACACTAAGAGCCCGAACAATATTTCTCAACCTTTTTTTCCTACCATTGCAACACATTTGTTTAGACAACTTAATCGTAGCAAGGCAGGCGATAAAATTTTGGGGTATAAAAGTACAAAAATAATAAAGCGCTGTAAAACTAACAAAAATTCAGTTTTCCTCCAAATTTCAGTTGTGTTGACATACCCCCCAGATTTTTCTCAAGTACCCCTAAGGGTTCTCGTACCACTGGTTGAGAAATACTGCCCTAACACACTGACATCCCATTCTCAGGTTGGTATTCCTTTCAGGTCCCATTTTACAAGGATTTAGATAGTAAAGAGATCAATATACATAGATTTGTCCTCATGAACAAGAGTACTCAGCACATAGTAACTTTGATCTACCTTTTCCATGACCACTAATTCAGGTCCCTCAAAGTCATAATCTGCTACCTACTCCAGTGTTACTCTAATGTATGTGTTCTGTGACAAACTTATCAAAGAACACATCACTTGCAGCAACCTATAAGCGAGTCAGAATTTGAATTATATGATGTGTATTTGCAGAGATTTTTCTCAAGAGCTAGAAAAAAAATAACCATTTTTAGACTGAAAACTGCACCATGTAATAAAGTTGCTTACCCTATCCCTATAGGGGATAGTGCCAGTGCAACTCCTTGATAGGTAGGTACCAGAGTATGTTTGGGGGGAGGAGGCAAACTGCATAGTAACTGGCTGATTTAACTCTAAAAGAGACTTACATTAAAAAAGAAAGAAAGGAGGAAAGTTAGAGTGGAGGGACTGGTCTCGTGCTCAACCCGGCTATATGGAATACTCGGAACATTTTGATTCCTCCATCCTCCTCCTCATACATTTGCCGGTCAGGTGATCTTTGAACAGCAGCTTTCTAGCACAAAACTTGGTAACCTAACATCCTTTTTTCATACTAGTAGGTGGGCAGCCTTCAAAAAAGCCCAAAATATTTGGAGGCACACTTGTTGTCTCTAAATATACAGAAACATGTTCTATTTACATGCTGATGTATATGGTGTACAATTATTTCTAAAACAATTACAATTGACAATGAAGCAAACACATTAGTGGCTGATAAAGAGCCACCGCCATCACCAGTTTAAACTTCACAGAATGGAAATAAGGTTCTGCTTGTCACCACTCACCATCCCTCCCACAGAAAAAGAAAGATTACATGAATTACTTTGGCTAAGAAGATAGCAGCGTCCAACATAGCTTTGATATGACGCAGCCAGCCAGAATTCTCCAAACCAGATAAGAAGCTGTTGACAGACAAAGCTTTTGTACCGCTGACTGAAATAGAATGAAAGAATGCATTAGAACTTTGTATGGAGCTGTAGCTCTAAATTGAGAAAAATAATTACAGGAAAGCAGATATTTCCCTGAACATAAAAAAAATTCTGAATTATTCTCTTTAACCATAAAAAGTGTCAGATTCCTAAAGTTTCAGAAATACAGGCCAGTAATAAATAAAAATTCATCTAGAACAGATCATGCAAGTATTTTATTAGTTTTGATCAGATACTAAGTTACCAGTGTAGTCAAAAAGGTAACGACAACATCCAGGAAGTGGGATTAGTGCCTCCCAGTAGGAAGTGCTACCTAACTTCAGAGGCAGGACAGCACAAGATATACTGCCACTTCCTTACGGTAAGCTCCTTCATATTGCCTCACTAATGTGACAGACATGATAACAGAGTAATGGGGGAGAGAAATGAAGGGGCAATTATTAATAGAAAGTAGTTCACCCTCAATCATCTTTCTCCTCTTCAGAGAGCATCAACAAGTGGTTTTGTTGCAGCTGAACACGAAGAGCTATTGGATTTTTTGTTTACGTGTGAACAATTGTCAGTCCACAAGAAACGGGGCTCATGACAATTTGTCTGTAAGTCTTTCTGAATTGCATACATTACTCTGACTGCCAAGCAACCAATCTGGCTTGAACCAGGTCATGTAAAAATCAAAATAGTGTTGCACTATTGATCCTAGCTCATTGAAAGCTCTGGAAATCCCAAAAGATCTGATTTCTGAGAAAGAAAGTAAATGCAGGTACATTTCATAGCACTCAGATGCCAGAGTATTTTATTTGTGAGTACAAATCAAGCGTTACAACATCTAAATTGGGCCTGGGCAAAATAGCCTCCATGGACCTCATGCGGCCTGCCAAGCCACCGGATCCAGCCCACAGACACAGCAGGTAGTCTCAGGCAGACTCTCCCGGTTGCCTCACCCCCACACGCCACTCAGAAAAGTAGCTGTGAGGACGTTTGTGTTCCACAAACTGTGAGCCCGGAGGAGAGGGGGCAGTGGTGCTTCATGGCTGCTCCTGCCCCAGCACAATCCCTTTAGCCGGTTTCTGGCAAACAGGCAACACGCGAAGTGCCACTCCCCGCTCCCCTCAGACTCTTATTCAGAGCAGATGGCCTTGCAGCCTGTGCAGGAGTAAAGAAACTGCTGGCCGGGAGTCTTACAGGTAAATCTCCTGGCTAGAGCTTGCCTCCGGCATCCCAGTGCCTCCCTTTGCCCCCCCACTCTTGCCCTCTTCTCTCACATAAGCCAAACCCTTTGCCCCCCTCCCGAGCCCATACCTCTTCCCAGACTCTGCACCCCAATCCTGTGCCCCAGATCACAACGCAAACCCCCACACTGTAATCTCCTGCCCTAGGTCACAAACCAAATCCCTGCACCGCAATCCCGTGCCCCAGGTCACGACTGCCTTCTTCACCCGAATGCCCTCCCAGGCCTTCCTGCACCCCAAACCCTTATTCTAGGAGTGGTCAAGACAACCTCGGTGGGGTGGATCAAGCCCACCAAGTAGGTTGATCCAGCCTCTAACCATCCTGCCACTCGCCCACCCCCAGGCCAATCAGGGGCTGTGAGCTAGGGAGCATGGGAAGCCTCCTGACCCCACCCCTTCTACCCAAGGCCCTGCCCCTTCCAGGGTGGCCCATTGACATTTCAGAAATTTGTGAAGTGGCCCCACCTTCAAAAACTATTGCTCACCCCGGATATAAATCCTATTAAAAAAATTAGGGTTAACACATGCATATTATAAACCACAATGGTTTTCTCTTGTAAATCATGTAATATGCTAACAAGATATGCCCACTTACACCCAAAAAAAAAAAAATATTCCACATTAAGGAAAATAGTTTAAGACAAATGACTGACAATTCATAAGAGCTTATTGCCCAGGAATTGTGATTAAAACAAAATACTTACTCCTAAGTAGTTCATAGAATCATAGAACTGGAAGGTACCTCAAGAGGTAATCGAGTCCAGTCCCCTGCACTCATGGCAGGACTAATCACTATCTAGATCAGCCCCAACAGGTGTCCGTCTAATCTGCTCTTAAATATCTCCATCACTGGAGATTCCACAACCCCCCCCAGGCAATTTATTCCAGTGCTTACCCACCCTGACAGTTAGGAACTTTTTCCCCTAATGTCCAACTTAAATCTCCCTTGCTGCATTTAAGCCCATTGCTTCTTGTCCTACCCTTAGAGGCCAAGGAGAACAATTTTTCCTCCCTCTTCCTTGTAACATCCTTTTAGATTCTTGAAAACCACTATCACATCCTCTGTCAGTCTTCACTTTTCTTAACTGAACAAGCCCAATTCTTTCAGCCCTCCTGCATCGGTCATGTTTTAGACCCTTAATCATTTTTATTGCTCTTCTCTGAACCTTCTTCAATTTTTCCACATCTTTCTTGAAATGTGGTGCCCAGAACTGGACACAATTCTCCAATTGAGACCTAATCAGTGCAGAGCTAAAGAATGACTTTTCGTGTCTTGCTCACCAACACTCCTGTTAATACATCCCAGAATTAGGTTTGCTTTTTTTGCAACCATGTCACATCACTGACTCGTGTTTAACTTGTCGTCCACGATGACCCCTAAACCCCTACCGCTAAGTAGTTCATAACTGACACTAAATTCAAGGCAGTCAACTTCATAACTTTGGAAGATCCTTGGTGTTTGGCATAGACTAACACTGAAAGACCAATGACCTGAGAAGGTAACTTATCCTATTTTTAATTATACTGTTATATCACATAACAAAACCATACCTTCTAAAAGTTTCTGCAGACTGGATCTCATTACGTGAATGTTTTCAATCCCAACAAACTGGAATCTAATGTTAGCATAGTTGTCTTCATTTTCATAGCCTTTACCTGCTGCTCTGTTTGCCATTGCATTAAGCTTAGTGGAAAAAACAAAAACAAAAAAATATTTAAAACCAAAAAGTTAAAAAGTAAATTGTAAAATCAAAATATAGATTAAAAACAAACCAACCGACTTCAGTAGGATACTCAGTTAAAACTAAAACATATATATCAATAAACATCCCTACAGATCTAAGATATGTAGTCAACTAATCTGAAAGAAATACTCGGACATGAAACTGACAACATGAGAGGGGATGTGATATATAGAAGACTATGATCAGATCATGCTGAAAGCTGAAAAATCTGAATACTAATTCTCCTTTCCTCAAATTATAATTGCTTATTTGAAAGATGCCACACAGTAATTAGATGAAAAGAAAAAGTTAGCATCTGAATACTTTATAGTGCTTGAAGTACTGTATGTAAAACAGATCTGGGTATCTGAAAAAATGATACCTACAAAATGATTCACAAAAAACACACAGATCCAACTGGACTCTCAGTTTCACTCCACAAGCTAGCACTCTCTGGAGGCTCCCCCATGTGCTCCACAATCTAGTATTTTACACATTTAAAGTTAAACATTCTAGTCTTTATGGTCAAAAAATATTTAAAAATGAGAATTTATGAGTGGAACCAACAAGTTATCGGCCAAAGCCTGTAGAAAGCTTGAAATAATGATTCCTGTAAATATCAGCTCCACCACACTTCTTAAGTGTAGTGCTAATGGTGAAATGATCAGATATTAACAGTTAACTATTTCATTGCAGACCAAAACATGTAAAAAACAGAAGAGATTTACAGTCTACTTTAAGTGGCATCTCACTGTGGTATCACAGGTGGTTGAGGCTTGGTTATAAGCAGAGGTTAAGAAACAAGTCACCACTGATATGCTCACCCCTCCAGCTGTTTAGTGACTCAGGAAGTAATGTGGAATTGCTTATTAAAATGAGGTATCTGAATAAACTCTAGGGCTTGACCATTACCCTGCAGACATGCTCTCTAGGTTTTACAATTTCTATCTTTTAATTTCTCCATGCTCCATTAAGCCACACTCACTATAATTCTATCAGTATGAACTTGGTTTGGTTTTTAAGAACAGCCTCCAGTGCAGCACCCAATGTTATAGTGCATTTAAGATTAAGGTTTCATATTTCATCTCAGATAATTAAAAAAAGTCTTAAAAACCTCAGGGTCTAAAACATTACCATTAGGTGCCTAAATCTGACTCCTAAATCTATGTTTAGCATCTAATAAGTGATCTAATTTTCACTAGTGATGAATACACAATAGCTACCATCAACATCAATGGGTGCTCAGCACCTTTAAAAATAACTCCATATTTAAGAAATAAATGTATTATATCTGAGGCACCCATTTAAAACAAAAAATAAAAAAAATCTTTGCCCAAGTTCCGAGATGAAATGTGTGTTTCATTTTGGTTAGCTCTGAATAAGAAGAATTAGGATTTGATTTCAACTTTGTACAGTGGGGCTTAGGATTTGGCATTCTGTCTTGGGCTCCAACAACTCTAACATGGCCCTGTTCTCTTATTTATTCAGGTGAACCTCATGAAACCTGGTCGCAGACTCGCTACAGGTCTCATACCCCTGAATGAGCACCAGTGCCGTACAGATTAAATGGCATGATACGGTATACTCCCAACACCTGAACCACATAGTGCTCCCCACAGCTCTTCCTACTGTATTTTCCCAGCATATAAGACGACTTTTTATACCTTAAAACATCCCCCCAAAATCGGGGGTCGTCTTATACGCCGGGTATAAACATACACGCAGTCCCTGACTTGCAGGTACGAACGGGGCTTTTCTCGCCCCGGAGGACACGGACTGCGGGACCTCGCGGTCCCGCCGCCCATGTACTCCGGGGCGAGAAAAGCTGCTCCGCGTCTCCCTGGTCTGCAGACCAGGAAGACGCGGAGCAAAGCCGCGGAGGGGCTCGGGCAGCGGGGCAGGC